TCTGCATCTATTCCAATCAGGGCTACTGCATTATTACATGTAGTGTTCTCAGATGTGTGTGGTCCTTTTGAAACTGAATCATTAGGAGGAAACAGATATTTTGTTTCATTTGTTGATGAATTCAGTAGGAGAATGTGGGTCTATTTACTTAAGGCTAAAAGTGAAGTCAGTGATGTTATCAAGACCTTTAAAACACTGGTGGAAAAACAGTCAGGTCATAGCCTTAAGGTATTTAGAACTGATGGGGGTGGAGAATTCTGTTCAAAAGAACTTGAGATGTTCTTCAAAAGTAATGGAATTATTCATGAGATTACAGCTCCCTATACTCCTCAGCACAATGGAGTTGCTGAGAGGAGGAATAGGACTGTACTTAATATGGTAAGAAGTATGATTAAAGGTAAAAATCTGCCTCATAATCTTTGGGGAGAGGCTGTGTCTACTGCTGTTTACATTCTAAACAGATCACCAACAAAAAGATTGAATAATGAAGTACCTGAAGAGATCTGGTCTGGACAAAAGCCATCTGTAACTCATTTTAAAATTTTTGGGTGTCTGTGTTATAAACACATTCCTGATCAAACAAGAAAGAAGTTGGATGACAAAAGTGAACCCATGGTATTTGTAGGTTACAACTCAACTGGATCATATAGACTCTACAACCCAAGAACTAAGAAGATTGAGTACAGTAGGGATGTGATATTTGATGAGTGGAATTTCTGGAAATCTGATGCTGTAAATATTAATTCCTCACAAGCAAGGATGGAGATTGGTTGTGAAGTGAATGATGGTTACAATGATGAAACGACCAATGCTAGTGAGAGCATGACTGAAAGAGCTGACCTCAGACCTATAAGAGCAAGAACTATTCCTCACAGATTGAGGGATTATCAATTGATCAGAGATACTGATATCAATGACCATGGTGATCCTATATATCTTGCCCTGCTAACTAATCTGGACTCAGTAGAATTTGAAGAAGCTATCACTCAACCAGTTTGGATTGAAGCAATGAAAGAAGAGCTGAGATCTATTGAGAAAAATCAGGTATTGGAACTTGCAGATCTGCCAACTGATAAAGTACCTATTCCAGTTAAATGGATCTTCAAAATCAAAACTCATGCTGATGGATCAGTGGCTAAATACAAGGCTCGTTTAGTGGCCAAAGGTTTCATGCAACAACCTGGGATTGACTATTCAGAAGTGTTTGCTCCTGTAGCTAGATTTGAAACAATAAGGGTGATTGTTGCCATTGCTAGCTACAGAAAATGGTCTTTGTGGCATCTTGATGTTAAATCTGCTTTTCTAAATGGAACTTTAGAAGAATTGGTTTACATTCAACAACCTCCAGGTTTTGAGGTTAAAGGATCAGAAAACAAAGTTCTAAAACTCAAGAAAGCCTTATATGGCTTAAAGCAGGCACCTCGAGTTTGGAACAAAAGAATTGATCAATTTTTGAGAAGTATTGGGTTCAATAAGTGTACAACTGGGCATTGAAAGAAACTATCTTGATTTGTCTATATGTTGATGATCTACTTATAACAGGAAGCAATGTAGGTAAAGTAGATGAAATTAAGAAGAAATTGAAACAGGAATTTGAAATGACAGATTTGGGAGAATTGTCTTTCTTCCTGGGAATTGAATTTGTTCATACTGATCAGGGTATTGTGATGCATCAGAGGAAGTATTTGACTGAGATTTTAAACAGATTTGGGATGCAATCTTGCAAACCAATTGAAAATCCTGTTGAAACTCATCAAAGATTAGATGATTGTAAGGATGAAACCAGGGTAAATGCTACCTATTATAGGCAATTGGCAGGATGCCTGAGATTTTTATGTCACAGCAGACCTGAAATTCTATATGGAGTTGGATTGGTGAGTAGATACATGGCAGATCCTAAACATTCTCATTTAGTAGCTGCAAAAAGAATTCTGAGGTATCTAAAAGGTACTATCAGTTATGGTGTTCTATTTACTAAGGAAGAACTGGAAAAACAAAGTTTGCATCTCACTGGTTACACAGATTCTGATTGGTCTGGAGATAAAGTTGATAGAAGAAGCACAATGGGTTATGTCTTCTATTTGGGAAATATTCCAGTATCATGGTGTTCAACAAAGCAAGATGTGGTGGCTTTGTCCACTTGCGAAGCAGAATATATTGCAGCCTGCAATGCTACTTGTCAAGGAGTCTGGCTTCTTTATTTGTTGAAGGATCTTAAGCAAGAAGTTGACACTACAGTAGAATTATTTGTTGACAACAAATCAGCCATTGATCTAGCCAAGAACCCAGTATCACATGGCCGCAGCAAACACATAGAAACCAAGTTCCATTTTTTGAGAGATCAGGTTGATAAAGGCAGAGTATGTATGAATCATTGCAGTACAGAAGATCAAATTGCTGATATTTTGACTAAAGCTTTGAAGGTGGACAGCTTTAAAAAATTTAGAAGTTTGTTGAATGTAATCTGCTATTAACATTGTAATGTTGTTTGTAAAAGATTTGGTATCATGGGGGGGTGTTAAATAATACCAAATAATGACTATAAATACTTGTAATGCACAGAGTCAGAATAAGAGAGAATCGGATTTCAGTCATTTCATTTCTTTCCTCTTTTAGCAATTGCTATTCTGTTACACAGTTTGTTACTCTAACAATTGTTACTCGGCCAAACTTTTTACTGAGTTCATACTTTGATTATTCTTCGATTCTCCCTCAGTTTTGCCTACCCCTAGTTCCGTAAAGTCATCAGCTATGTTGCACGGGCACAGGTATACCGATATGCGAATACAAGTACGACGATACAACAACTTCAAAAATGATAGGATACGGGGTACATGGGTGTATTTATAAATAATAATAATAATAATAATAATAATAATAATAATAATAATATAGGGCATAATTTGAATATATGTATATATATATAATTCAGAGGTTCATAAATAAAATAATAGTAGTACCAGAATTTAACAATTATAATAACATTTAAAAGATCAGACTAAAAGCAAAACTAAAGCATTGATATTTCAACTTAAATTCAAATAATATTCGATTCACATTTCCATTTACATCTACGTTTAACAAGATTGGTTCATTTAAAGTTCACCAAACAATAGATTGGCAAATTCAAGCATTCCAATATTTCCCATAGTCCCGAAATCATCTTAACCAATTCAATATTCCACATCTTGTGGTCGCTTGGACGGCTACTATATTTTCATCAGATCATGCATAAAATTAGGCTTATAGGATCCCCCCGGAGCAAACCACTCAAGGTGCTGAGAGTTAATAGATGCTGGGAGTTACACGATTGACAACGTTTTCAGTACAGAGGGAAAAAAGCACAACTTGAAATGTTAAAATGGAATACAAATGGAGCACAACATAAAAAAAATTAAACTAGCAATTGATTTTTTTGATGGTATTCCAGCCGAGGCTGAGATGACTCTGTTGTACTCATTGTGAATTTGATAGCCTTATGGAGGTAGGGCCTGTAGAAATTCGCCTCTGGGTGCATGGGATGCTTTGAATCTTCCAAGTGCTTCAACTAGCTTATGTGGCGAGTCAACGTTTTGTGTCCACTGGGTATAAGTAATAGTTTGAATGAGTTTGAGGACTCCGTGATTGACTTCAGGTAACCATAGGGTGAGATGTATACCCGACTCCATAAGTTAGTTGTCTGCCTCCTTCAACGAGGTTGTAACTTATGGGTTTCACTTCTATGAAACCATCTAGTTCATGAGGTTTTACTGTTGTACCTACAAGATTAAATACACACATCTGTTCACAAATTCGTGTATCAAAAGTATTTATATATTTAAATATAAGTCCAATACTTTTATGAAATTACAGATACGGACCCTATACGTACAAGAGGCGTATCGGTGTGTATATGTATAAGATACATATCAGATATAACATTGAGGTGAAGTATCGGTGCACCATAGGTCATTAGCACCACCCTGCATATGACTTTTGTTTTTTAAGTGCTTATTTTATACATAAATAATTACTTGAAATACTCATTCGAGCTTTTTTTAAATTAAAAAGAAAGACACTTTCTTATTTTTTTTTGCAAACATTACCTTAGTTTTAGTGATATTATTTTACCTCATACTAGATTGGTACCATTTTAGTTTTAATAAAAAACAAAAAGTACGTCCAGAAGAAAATGCTCCACTAATAAATAAAGTGAAAATAACTTCAAATAATATCAACTATCACTCATTAATCAATAATGTTACATACTCTGAAAATAATTTTTTAATAATACCAACTATTTGAATATAAACCAAGAATAATATGAAGTCAAATTTTGACAAGAAATCCGATGATTTAATACATCGAAAACTAAAAGCAATATTCGGAAATAGATTCACTTATTTGATATTTTAATACGAAGTATTAGTTTTTGGTGAATAAAATAACTACTTCGTATTTTTTTTGGTGAAATGATGCTCTATATCACTTTTAGTTTATACAGAGTATTTAAATAGTTGATATTATTACAAGTTATTAATAAAGTACATATTATTCTTAGTTCATAAAAGATGTTGACATTATTTAAAGTTACTCCTTCCGTTCCCAAAAATACTTCTCACTTTCTTTTTTGGGCTGTTCCCAAAAATTCTTCCCACTTTCCCTTTTTGGACAATTTGTGTGGCTCACATTCATTTTACCTTTTTCTCACACAATCACACATTTCCACTTTCTTAATAGGCGTGCCAAGTCAAACTGGGAAGAATTTTTAGGAACGGAGGGAGTATTTTTTTAGTAAATAAAAAACTTTGTAACTGATTCAAAAAATTAAGTTTCATCATTTGTCTGTACAGAATTAAACGCAAAAGGACGGTTTGGCCGAGTGGTCTAAGGCGCCAGATTTAGGCTCTGGTCCGAAAGGGCGTGGGTTCAAATCCCACAGCCGTCATTTGTTTTGTGTCCTTAAAGAAATCGCCTAGTTTTTTTTATTTTTTATTTTTTATTTTTTATTTTATCATTCTGACAGTCTCTTTTTATATACTCCGTATTTTCCTTTGAAGTGAAGCCTTTCATGCTTTTCCCTCCGCCCATGGCTCTTTCACTTCATGCGTCAAAACCTAATCCACATTTCAGTTACAATTGCTCCAGTCCCAAAGCTTCCAAACTCCCCCATTTCTTCCCATGGCAAAAGGTACTTACTCATCCATTAAGAATCGTGGAAAATACCCGATTCTCCTTCAGGAGTTTTTATTATCTCACTGGTTGTGGGGGTTTTCCAGGTAAAGGTGGGACCTTTAAGCGTATCGCCTATGGGGTTTGGGACATGGGCATGGGGAAACAAGGTTCTTTGGGGATATGAGGAATCCATGGACACTCAGCTTCAGCACACTTTCAATTTTGCTCTTGAAAATGGGATCAACCTGTTTGATACTGCCGATTCCTATGGAACGCTTGGGTTGAATGGACGAAGTGAGAAGCTTCTTGGCAAGTTCATCTGTGAATTTCAAGGTCATTCTTCCACATTTTCCTTTTCGTTTTGTTGTTGACACATTCATAGTTATTTAGTTGCTGGATTAATTTTCCTATTTGTTAGCTATCATTCTTAGATCTCCCGCCTAAAAAACTTCAGGTTAACTGTCTCGGTGAACTCAATCTGTGAAGCACATAACTTTTCAGCTCAAAACTTAATGAGACATGATGAGTCATCTTAACTAAAATTTTGAAAGTCAGAACTTTTAACTAAAATCTGGTGTAATCGTTTTCACTTTTGAGCTAATTTTCATATTCAGTTTCACTGTCAGGGTTGAATCTCATATGCTAGTCGAACATTTTGAAAAGTCAGAACTTTTTGCTATATAGTAATTGTATAGAACTACATTTCATATTCTATCAGATTGTTGTCTTTGTAGGATTGAATCTCAAATTCTAGCAGAACATCTTGAAAAGTCAGAATTTTTAGCTATTAAAGACTTGTTTGAGCTACTGTTCATATTATAATAGGTTAGCTATTAGAGCATCTCCATTCATGCAATTCAAACAAGCGATTTTTTCACTACACCTAATTGCCACATCATTATTATGCATTAAATTTTAAATAATCTCAAAGTCTAAAATTATTCATCAACAATGATATGTTTTCCATCATTTGCAATGGAGCCAAAGATTCATTATTTTTTAGCTTGATAATATGATGGAATAAAGCAAAATGGCTCACTAAACTGTCTGCTCTTCTTTGTTATGAAGCAGTCAGTCCATGCAATTTTGGACGCAATTTTCACTATGGGTCATCCGGAAACAGTCTCTCTGTGCTTTAGTACAGGGGTAAGATTGCGTACATCCGACCCCCCTTACCCCACCGTAGGTGGGAGCCTTTGCGGCACTGGGGTAAATGAAAATGAAATGAAATGATATTCATATGTTTTTAGTTTTTCTAGGACATGCATTAAATACATTTAACTATAATCTAAAATAATCCGGGATTTGAATCTTGATACCGAATTATCTTTTTAAATAATCCCTGTAAATAATCTCTTCCCCTCAATGCTAACCTTTAGAATAATTTGACATGTCATCTAATTAATCTTCAAATAAACTAACCAATGATGTTGCCATTAGGAAATATCAGAATTTTTAGCTAAAAGATAACTGTTTTGAGCTGCTTTACATAGAATGCCGTCTTCACCTTTAAGGTATGAATATCAAATTTTTGCTGAACTCTCTGAAAATTCAAAATCCATTGCTCAAAAACATTTTTTTTTGGGTGCTAAATATTGAGATGCCGTGCTGGAGTTTTCTCCCTCAAAGGTTTTTATCGATCTTTTATGTTCTGTTTGACTAATTTGCATATGACTGTATGAGGCAAGAGTCTTTTTTGGCCATATAAATGATTCAGGAAGTAAGAAGGTGCAAGATGACATTGTGATTGCTACAAAGTTTGCAGCATATCCGTGGCGCCTGACCCCTGGACAGTTTGTGAATGCTTGCAAGTATGCTTCATCATCATCATTTCATCTCAGATTGAACTAATGTACATAATCTTCTCGTAGTTACTAGTTATTATAACGCTTTGAACTTGAATATGTTAAGTCTATCTTATATTGATAGAATTTAAAAATATAAACAAACATATACTACCTCTGTCCCTAAAAAGTTTTTCATTTTACTATTCATATGATCAAACTAATTCCTTTTTTTCTCTTATTTATGTGTACCAAAATTTTATGTTCAAAGTCGGCTTTGCGGTGAAATAATACTTTTAGCATAATTTCACAAAATGAAAATAAGGTTATGAGCTACTACTCGACTAATCGTAAACACTTGACTATAGTATGGAATCACATATCTTTATATGCAGAAGAGCAGTTTTTATGGTGATGAATTATGTGTTAGGTCTTCTTTAAAGAGGATGCAAATTGAACAAATTGGGATTGGACAATTGCACTGGTCTACTACAAACTATGCACCTCTACAAGAAAAAGCTCTCTGGGATGGTTTAGTGGCAATGTATGAGAAGGTTACCTGAGCCTCTTCTGATTATTTGGAATGCTTATGTATTTTAGTCTAGATGTTTAAATTGGTAATTATTCACTTTTTCTTCAGCCATTAAAATACAATTATGGGGTTATAGGGGTTAGTTCGTGCGGTTGGTGTAAGCAATTACGGACCAAAACAGCTTCTGAAAATACATAATTACCTTGAAGCACGCGGAGTTCCCTTATCGTCCGCTCAGGTTCATAGATATCTTCCCATCTTTCATACAAAGTTGTGTTATATGCATGGGTGATGTGTTGAGTATTTTGCGTTAGTTCAAAATTAGGTACAATTCTCATTGCTGAGTATGGGAAGTCAGCAGATGGAAATTAAAGATATATGTGATTCTTTGGGCATACGCTTGATCGCTTACAGTCCCCTTGGTCTTGGCATGCTTACTGGAAAATACAGCCCTTCCAATCTCCCTAAAGGGCCTAGGTACATCGTTTTCACCTGTTTAGCACTCATGGGCGATTGGGCGTAGTGGCTAGGGGATGGGGAACCCGGGTGGCCAGGCCCAACCCATATTCGAAAAAATAAAACTTTATTACTGTGTGTAATCTTTTTAACATAATAATTACAACCACCGGTCCTAAATAAAGTTCCCAGTTTGACTTTAGCTTTTTAAAGAAAGTGGAACTTTTTCTTTTGACTTTCCCATTATACCCTTACAAAAAGTAGATTATGTGTATTGGGAGAAAAAAAAGTGGGCGTAAAGTAGCTGAATTAAGTAAGGGTATAAGGACCTGCCTAAAAAGGAAAGTGAGAACTTTATTTAGGACCGGAGAGAGTATATCGGTATATGAACGGCTTATTTTTCTGGTCCACCTAAAATTCAAGTTTTTAAGGATCCTGTAGAATGCACTGTACAGAAACAATCAAGAAATAAATATATTGATCACTCAATTCTTCTTGATAGTCCTTGTTAAAGTTGTGAGTTCAGTCTCTCGCTTTGTATTCATGGAGTTATTATTTAACTTGGTTGATGCTATGCTTATGTGTATTAACACTTGTATCTTTTCCTTTAATCTTCTCAAAAGCAATGGCATCATTAGTTTGTGAGAAACTGAATTGGCAGCTTAATATATATAACCGTGGTACAGATTTGGGTCAAAGTGATCATATTCATATGGGATTACATTGCACTGTTTTTTTCTTTCAATTTTAGTCATCTAACTTAATGTGGAAATTACACTTTTGGTACCCATCTTTGAGTTGTTTACTTTTAGTCATCTGATTATTGTGATTCACAAAAATCAGATGTTTGTGACAGATACATTTTATAGTTTTGATTGTCATTGTTGAATTTCCGCACTTTCAAACTTTATACAACTGTGCCTTTGACGCTTTTGAGTTTGTGACATTGACACTTCGATAGAGAATAACAAAGCAGCAGGAAGTCAACAGTAGAATGATGATGATCTCAGGATTACAGTAGCGGAAATAGAAGTAAAGAGAAAGATACAGCGAGACACTTAGAGCAGTCCCCTCTCCCAAGTTTATCCCAATTTCTGCCTAACCACCTTCTTCCCCCACTTCCCACTCTTAAGGGCCAGCCCAAACTCATGAATTATATGGCCCGACACCCTTATTTGTACATTATTATATTATTTAATACGGAGTATAATTCTATTATTCTTATTATTATTGGTTGTTCATGTCTCTATCATATCTCCCCCCTTGAACAACCACCTTGTCCTCAAGGTGAGTGATAGTAAACAACCTTGATCTTCAACTTCAACTTCATCCTGGCGCCCCTTCCTTCCCAGTACCTCACAGATAGCTGGAACAAAAGCTTCAGCATTTGAACACTCATCATGATCACTTCCTCAGCCCTGTACTTCTCTAAGATTTTCACAGCCTTTCCATATGTCTCGTTGTCTAGACTCCAGAATCTGGAGATTCGCTATCTTGCGTAGTCCTTCATATTCGTCAACCATCTGCGCATCTAAATTGACCTGACCATTCAATCACTTTCCTTTGTCAGCCTCGCCTACTTTCAGAATGTTTTCCAGCCCTTCGAAGCACACAATAGTAACTCTAGGATCTGGAAATAACAAGAGATTACAGAGCAACTTATTGCAGCCTTTACTTGCCAGAACCGTAATTTGATCATGAGAGCCTCCAGAGGTGGCCTTAGAGATAGCCCATACAGCCTCTTTACAGATGTCAAATTCTATTTTTTTTAAGGAGGTGTACCGAAGGAACAAGGATAGATACCTCAATAGCGGCCCTTATTTGGATCTCTATTTTCCGCCGTGATATTAGGTATTGTCCAACAAACTTCTTTCTTGATGCTATTCTGGTGATTTTGCGTAAAAAGTAGATACCGACACGGAAGCACTTGGCTGTCAACTACAAACTGTGTTTGAACATCATCACCGGTTACAATGTTCCCAATTGTTCCCAGGACATGTCTGAGAACTGTAGCAGATGGCTGAAACAGAAGTTCTACCAGCCGTGGGCATACACCTGCCTCGATTGCTGCTTGAATCTTATCCTTTGGTCCATTTGACAGATACAGAAGTAGGGGTGGATTCGGTTCGGTTCCCGAACCGATATAGGAAAAATCCGAACCGAACCAATTTTTCGGTTTGTCAAATTTCACAAACCGCAACCAAACCGAAAATCTTCAAAACCCGAATTTTTGGAAACTGATATTTCGGGTCGGTTTTTGGTTTTGATAGAAAAACCGACTGAATTTAGAAAAATTGAACTAAGCTGAGGCTTCGAAGCATCCTTTAACGCCTAATCCATACAAGTATCTAATGGGCGTATATATAGGAACGAAAGAGGAGTAAATCCTCCGTTTCCATCAGTGTGGGAAAACTTCAAGCCTTAAAGAAAATAAAAAGAGAAGAGAGGTAGCATGCGGGATTCGAACCCGGGTAAAAATGATAGCACACGCGTAGAGCTATCTATGCCAAACCACTGGACCACAGCTACTAGTTGTTAAGAATATGACGTGATTAGAATATATTACCTATTTGTTGTGCAGATTAAATATTTAAATATCCCTTAATAAAATTCGGTTCGGTTCGGTTCAACTGACTTTTAGCATATCAAAAGCCGGTACCGAACCGAGGTAGACTTCGGGTCCCAATTTTTTCGGTTCAATTTCGGTTCAGTTTTTTTTGATCGGTTCGGTTTTCGTTTTTTCGGTTTAAAATGTCAGCCCTATACAGAAGTTCCCAACAGTCATCTTTCCTAACTTCTTTTTCATTCATCTGGATTACTTGCTGAAGAAAGGGCAATGTAGATTTGACCAGGTCAAATGGTGTTGGTGGCTTGCATCTATAGGAGTTTGACAAAGTCCAGGTTGTGTCTTCACCAGCAATATTTCCCAAAGCCCAAACAGCCTGTTCACGAACATCATCATGGAGTGAATTCAGAAACTGCATAGACTTAGGAATAGCACCCTGTTAAATAACACCCCTTTTGTGTTCAGATGAATAATCAGCTAGAACCCAAGGAAACACCAGATACTGAGTTAACTCATTATAAGGTCCTCCAGCGAGTGTGCTACGATTAATCAAGTCCTCAGAGTTTGTATATTCTGTCTCCTCCTCCAACTTTTCCTAGAGATTTCAGCCACTTCTAACACAACACGTTGATCAACCAACGTAATAATGCTAGTCTTGTCCCTGTACCCTTTTCGAGACATTGGTTCATTTCTGTTTGTAACGATCAAGCTGCCAGCATCTCTTGCATCATTTTGGGTTGCAAATTTCAAAAACTCTAGAGTAGTAGTGTCGTCGAAGGCTATCTCAATTGCTGTGTTTTTAAGCTGAAATCTGCCCCACGGACACCCGTTACCTTGGATATCATCTATCTTCTATGCCGCTTGATATTGCTGGGGTTCTTTTGAGGTATATTTCCACACACTGTGTTTATACTATCACTAGTTTTTCCCCTTTCAGAATCAAAAGCGGAACTGTCAGGCCACTTGGATGTTTTTACTTGGACTGTTTTCACTCCCACACCAGATCAAACCAGACTTGGATAGTTATAAAATGCATACAGACCAGACGTTTATAAGACCAGACCAGCAAATTTCAGTCCAAGTAAAATCATCCTTAAGTAGGTTCTGGTAGCCGTCATCATAGGATGAATAGGTAGATAGGTCATCTTCAGTGCTTCCTTCAAATGGGCTTCTAGAGGATAAACCTGGAACAACTTCCAAATTAGAACAGACGCTTCCTGAACGGATAGCAACCACAACCATACCCCTCACACTATTTCTACAACGTGATGTGGTGATATATTGGCCATGTGGATCTGTTCTAAACAATCAATACCTATTGCATCCAAATCATTTCTATGGCAGAAACCATTCCTCCTGTTAGTTTCAGACAACTCAGCATTAAGCCAAGCATTTTTATTCACAATTTCACATATTCCACAGCCCATTTCCATTGCAATCAATGTACAACCATTCAGAACTATGGTCTGATGCGCGCGTAAACCGATTTCCAAACAGGCCATTACAGAAGGATTCCTGAAACCTCTTTGCTTCCCTGTCCTGATATGCCCCAGCTTTATTAGCTCAAGTGAGGAGATATAAGCCTTACCAGTTCTTCCAAGTGGGCAGAGTTCCATTTCTATATTTCCAACATCATCGTCTAGTTCAGCTTCCATTCCAGCGACCACTGACGATTTCTCCTCTGGTCCCTTGTCACCAACAATGAACGTATCTTCAGAGAGAGGTTGGCGTGGATTGCCAGGCTCCTGCTACTCGGACGAAAACTGGAAGCTTCTCCTTTTGATTGCATCTTACATTGAAGTGAACTGCTAGCGTTTGACGAAGTTGCGAACCTGGAGACACGGCTTGTGGAGAAGATTGCGAACTGGAAGAAGATGTTGGCGAGGAAACCTGCGAACTAGTTGAAGCTGTTTGCGATGGCGATTAGCCATGCCTTTTTCGAATTTTAGCAGCGTCACACCGTCCTGGATCGACCTGTAGGTTGGCGATTCTGGTGTCTCTGCTTGTTGCGCTGGTCGACCATCTTCTTCTGTGTCTTAGTGTTCGTCCGTTTCAGCCTGGTGCTAATCTCAGCCAAATGCGTTCGACCTTTTCTACTCTTTTCCATTTGCTGAATTGCTGGTCAACCATCTTTGTTCATTCGTGTCTCAGCATCGTACGCGTAGAACTGATCTCCACTTCAGCGATCAACACTACTCTGGGATGATCAATCAAACTCCAGGAGCAAATGCTCTGATACCAATGATATAGACTAACAAAATGCAGCAGGAAATCAACAGTTGAGTGACGATGATCTCAGGATTACAGTAGCGGAAATAGAAGTAAAGAGAAAGATACAGCAAGCCACTTAGAGCACTCAGAGCAGTCCCCTCTCCCAAGTCTATCCCAATTTCTGCCTAACCCCCTTCTTCCCCCACTTCCCACTCTTATAGTAAATCTATTCTTAAGGGCCGTCCCAAACTCATGAATTATATGGCTCGACACCCTTATTTGTACATTATTATATTATTTAGGCTTATATATGTTTTTAGTCCCTGCAAATATGACACAATTTGTTTCAAGTCCCTGCAAAATATTTTTCTTGTTTTTCATCCCTGCAATATGCACTATTTTGTTTTTAGTCCATCTCTGATTCTGAAACTACTCTACTTACAAAAAAAGTTATTGTCAATTACATAAATCTACTAGAAATATATAAATTGTTCCTTTTATAATTTTTTGAGGCTAATATGAGAGTTAAAACAGTGTAAAACTAAGTATTCACATTTAAAAATATATATTAAAAATCTTCTAAGAAATAAAATTAAATACTTTTTTAATAACATGACAAAGAATTAGAGAGTCTATTAATCGGGGTTATTTTAAGGTCAATCAGAAATTGTTATCATTAGTGATGGACTAAAAAGAAAACCACCCTAAATCACAGGGAAGAAAAACAAAAATATTATTTTGCAGGGATGTAAAACAAAATGTACTATATTTGGTGGGACTAAAAACATATTTAAACCTATTATTTGATATAATTCTATAACTCTTATTATTATTGGCTGTTCATGTCTCTATCACACTTTTAGAAGTTTAGTTATTCTACTATTGTCACCAACGTCAAAGTCGAGTGACAAAACGGCTAGTGTCATGGTAGTAAAAAACAAAGAGGTAAAAGTGGAAAAAACTTTGCAAGTTTGCAGATTCATGAACACTTGACTACTTGAGGGAATAAAATGACAAGTTTCCCTTTTTAATGTGGGAAAAATTTTCATTGTTTCACCTCATCGTGATTTTCAACAGGGGCTTCCTGTTCAGTAACATTCTACCTGGGCTGCAACCTTTGATGAAGTCCTTAAAAGATATAGCTCGAAAAAGGGGCAAAACTGTACCTCAGGTTCATTAGTTAACTTGTTCTGTGGATGGTTTTTTTAAGCTTTCCTGGTATATTTAGATACGATCTCAGATGCAATTATAATCACAGGTTGCAATTAACTGGTGTTTGTGCAAAGGCACGATTCCCATACCGGGAGTTAAGTCAGTGAAACAAGCTGAAGAAAATGTAGGTGCCCTTGGGTGGCAACTAGATGCGGATGAGTTGACAGAGTTGGAACATGGAGCTCTTCAATCTCCGCGAAAGATGATTCAGAACATCTTTCAAACCACCTAGTCATTACTTTATTCTCTCTTGTGAAAACTGTGTAAAGAGTAAAGACAGGCAGGGGCCATTTCATTTTAGAAGTAACGGGCTCAACCTTTTTTATTGCCCACAAGCCAGGAAAAAAATCTAATTAATACTCAAAATGTGATTTCTTGTGTAATTGGGTTATTTGGGTACAATGTAAATAGGGAAAAGTATGGAAAAGATATTTGTGGTTGGACCCGTTTTCATATAGGGTCATATGTTTCATCCTTTATCAAAGTGGTTCATGTGTTTGAATTCCGTTATCACAAGAGGGTCATGTCGTTAAAAACATCTGAAAAAGATCGTTAAAAGTAATTTCGATTTTCAAAAGTGCTCGGAAAATTAAAAGAAAAATACCGAAAGGTGTGCCTTGTTAAGATGACCTCCAAGGCTCCAAACCACCTTTGCATTTGGATTTTCACATCCGTTTGAATTATTTTTAAAAAATGATTTCTCTAATATCACTTTTGTTGTGGCCTTTTCGGTGACAAGGGTGCCTTAAGACAAAAAGGAAAGATGGCCTAGCGGTCGTTTTATTGAGGCGATTAGGCGAACCTTCCAGTAATTTTCTTTTGATTTTTCGGGCACTTTTGAAAAATCGGAGTTACTTTTAAAGGTTTTTTTCAAACATTTTTGACGGAATTTAAATACATGAATCACTTTGATAAAGAATGAAACACACGACCTTATCTGAAAACGGGCCTAACCACAAGTACCTTTTCCGTACTTTCCCATGTAAATAAAATGTGATTTAATGTTTTTAGCACACTATTGTCGTACACTCACTTTATATTTCATTGCCACTACATAATTTATATTTTAAATAATACTCTAAATGTGATTTCTCGTGTAATTGGGATTGATACTTTGTGCAAGGACTCCCGTGCAACACGAACGATGTAAGTAGTCATGGACCGGTTCTGGGCCGGTCCCAAACCGGGCTTTTTAATATTTGGTGAAGGCCCGGAATTGGCCCGGGTTTCCAACGGTTCGGGATTCCATTGGGTCCGGTCTCGAGCTGGTCTCGGGTTTTTTTTTTCTTTTCTGATTAACTCCCGACTAGTGGTGGACTTGGGCCGGGCCTAGGCCCGACCGGGCTGCCGGTTAGGAAATGTTGGGCCTGGGACCGGCCCGGGTAGCCTCCGGGTCCGGGCCGGGCCTCGGGCCTCTAACAATTGTTTTCCTTTTTCTAATTACCCCCCCCCCAACCCCCAACCCCCCAAACCACTCCAAATGGCCCAAAATACCCAGCCCAACCCGGGGATTTAAGTCGGGCCACCCGGCCCGAGTCCACCACTACTCCCGACCCCCCCCCCCAAAACCCTCAAAAACACCCAGCCCAACCTGGGAAAAACAAAAAAAAAAAATTGAAAAAAAGGCCCGGGCCCATTCCAAAGGATGGGGTGACCTGTATCCGGCCCGCTCTATCACCCCGGGCCGGGCCTAGGCCCGGAACCAGTCCAGGTCCACCGGGCCGGCTCGGTCCCAAACAGTACCCGGCCGGTCAGACCGGACCCGGGCCAAGACTAGATGTAAGTATGAGTAAATTTTATATAATTTCAGGTATAAATGTGTTTGGTGTGACTCATTTTATTTTTGTGTAGCTTATACTCCATATTAAACATTTATGTAAATACTGTTATTATATTAGTTACTCACATCAATACCGTATGTAAAAGTGGAACGGTAAAATATAAGATAGGAACGTACATAAGTATTATGTTCTTATCAACTTATTTAAATGAGAAATATATTGATGCGAGTACATAATAAGATCAGAGTTACCTATTATTGATTTACTACACAAATATGAGCACTTAAAAACTGCATCATATGATTCATATCACAATAATTCAATACTTGTAAATTACGGGGGATTCACAATTCAATGTCCCATTCATTCAAAACAAGATGCAATGAAACAATTTTTATTAATGTCTGTAATTAGTTTAGTGGACGATAAACATTTGTGTTGACTTTTAGATAAATTCTAAAATGACATAAAAATGAACTAGCATAAGATAGAACTATGAATATGTTATTAATAAAAGGAAAAATTGATAGTAATAATCCCAATTATCGGCGGTCCGCTCATAATAATCCCAACTATTGATTATTTCAGAAAAATCCCAACTTTAGGGACCTTTCGCCAATAATGGTCCCTATAAATAAATTTTTGTAGTTTCTAAAGTGGATGAGAAGAAATATAACAAGTAATCCCTATAAGTAATTCCAACTTTTAATTTTTACGCTTAATTTCTATTTAAAAATCACTTGTTATATGAGGTAATATCTGGTCATGGATCATTATTGGCGGACGGTTCATATAGTTGGGATTATACAAAAATAATCACCAGTTGGGATTATTGTTAGCGGACCGGCAATAGTTGAGATTATTATTTTCAATTTTTCCTAAATAAAATAAGTTTTATTGGAGATTATAAGAAGGGAGTATAATAGGAAATTAGGAACATAAGTTATTCTTATTATAGTTCTATTGTTATATGTTGGAGTAATTTTACTTTTTTTGGGCCAATTCTTTCTAACCTATATAGTATTTGTTCAATGTTAATGCCAACATCCTTGAACTGGGATTCGAACCTGTGACCTCCTCCTTGGGGGTGCCATAGTGATGTCATCAGACCACAAGGGGGTCTGGGGAAGGAGGCCTAGGGAACTTGGAGTAATCAGGGCTGAAATTCAGCCCATTGAGTTTCAAACTCTTATGTGCCTAGCGGGTTTCGAACTCGAGACCTCCCACTAGGCTCAATAACTTCACAACCAATTGGGCTGGAATACTTGGTTTACTTTTATTACTTCGTATCTTGTAATAACTTTTCAAGCTACTCCGTACTATTTACAGTCTGCAAAGATATACTTCGTACGTAGTAGCAATTATCTTAATATCTTAAAACAGCTTCACAGGGTTCACGCTATGTATGTGTTTGTACGTCAAACATTGTATCTTACAGAAAATACACCTTAGATGTCCTGAATAAATTGTTCAATGTTTTACGTTGGAGTTGATAAAAATTGTATTTAAGGTGAAGGTGGCAAAGGGCGCACCTAGACATAGACCCAGTCCGGCAATCCGGCCTGAAACTAGGTTTGATACTGTTACGGACCAGATCACATTAGGTCTATTATTAGGGTGCCAAGTATACTGAGCCTTAAATTTTGGGTAGCAGGTCAAGCCCGTAGTTATTTTTTCCCAGAACTGACTAGTCGGCACTGAATCGAACTGGTTCATGGCTAGGAGCACCCAATCCTTCACCAAGGATGGGCATTGTTTTTTAATTGAACTGATATTATTTTCAAACCAAACTAGACTTAAATAAGTTGAACTAAATCAAACAAGACTTCAGGAACTGCAAAATATATATTGTCTCCCATCTCCGTGTGTATTTTAACTTTTTTACACTTTTTTTTTGGCAAGTTTTTTGTTTCATACTTTTCCACGAGTTCCTTTTCTATAATACTCCCTCCGTCCCCAAAAGATTGACCAAAGTTGACTTTCACGTGGATTAATAAAATAAAAACTGTGTGGTTGAAATTTGTGTAGAAGAGAGAGAATTGACTTTAGCCATATATTCCTTACTTTAAGTGGAAATGACAAATCTTTTTGGGACATCCAAAAAGGAAATTTGGCCAACCTTTTCGGGACGGAGGGAGTATTTATTACCCCTACTATTCCCCTTAAAATCCTTAAATATTGTGCCAAACTCTACTAAAGCAAGAATTCAGTACTGAGGTAGTATAAAACAAACATTTAACAAACCGCATCCGATCAAACTTAAACAAACAGATCAAATAAGAATATTTCAATCTGATTAAAAACCTACTCAACCTACACTCATAGAGCACGAGATACAGAGATTGGCATTGGCTGGGCAAATAAAAAAATAAGGACATGTTTACTTCACCGGTTATTAAACGGTGCTTATTAAGACCCGTGTTAATAAGCGGCGCATAAAATAAACAATGTTGTAAAACCGTGTTTACTTCAAACGGTTTAAAACACCGCTTAACATTAAAATGTCCAAAATAACCCTATACATATATATACACACAAACTTTCATGAACACAAGTATATAATATAATATGTGTACCCATACCCCTAACCCCTAACCCCTTACCCACCCTACCTTACCCCGACCCCACCCACCGCCCCTACCCTACCTACCTGACCCCACCCTAACATGTCCCCACCCTACCGCAACCCTACCCCCGACCCCATAGGCCCCTACCCCCATAGGCCCTTACCACATCGACCCCACCCCAACCCCACCTTACCCTACCTTACCCCAACCCCGCCCCTGCCCTACCCTACCCGACCCACCCCCTACCCCACCACACCTACCCTGCCCCTAGCGCCTCTATCACATCGGCCCCACCCTGACCCCACCACCCTAGGTATAGTGGGGTAAGGGGTGGGGTAAGGGGTATAGGGGTGGGGTGGGGTAGGTGGGGTGATTGAGGTCAGGTAGTGGTAGGGTGGGTCGGGTAGGTAGGGTAGGGGTTGGGGTTGGGTAGGTAGGGTAGTGGTAGGGTGGGTTCGGGTAGGTAGGGTGGGGGTTGAGGCGGGGTAGGGGGTAGGGTAAGGGTAGGGTCGGATAGGGTAGGGTGGGGTCGGGTATGTGGGTAAGGGGTGGGGTAGGTAGGGTAGTGGTAGGGTGGGGTCGGTTGGGTCAGGGTAGGGGTAGGGGTAAGGTGGGGTCGGGTAGGGGTAGGGTAGGTGGGGTAAGGGTAGGGGTGGGGTCGGGGTAAGGGTAGGGTAGGGGGTGTCTGGTAATGGGGTAGGGTAGGGGTAAGGTGGGGTACATGTAGGGTGGGGTCGGTGTAGTGGTAGGGGGTCGGGTAGGTAGGGGTAGGGTCGGGGTAGGTAAGGGTAGGGTGGGGGTCGGTTAGGTAGGGTAGGTGTGGGGTAGGTGGGGTGGGGTGGGGTCGGGGGTAGGGTGGGGTCAGGGTAGGTGGGGTAAGGGTAGGGTGGGGTCGGGGTAGGTGGGGTTGGGGTCGAGGTGGGGCAGGGATAACAATAGCTTAAGGGCAAGGGGTAAATTCGGAAACTCAAAAAGTTTAAAGTGCCGCTTAATTAATACATGGGGGGGTGGTATGCTTAATAAGCGGAACTTTAAGCACCTCTTTCGGTTAGTAAGCGACTTTTTAAGCAGTGTGCGTGTTTACTTCACCTGTCTTACTAACCTAACTGTGACTTTAGCAGTGAAGTAAACACCTCCTAAGAGTTGTCATGAAGATCATGAATTCATCCATTTTTTTACTCCAGGGGGTCAGGGGGAGGGGGGCTGGGGGCTGAAACTTACTTCATTGAGTTTCGAACCCTTATGTACCTAGCGGGATCCAACTCGAGACCTCCCACTAGGCACGGTAACCTCACAACCTGCTGAGCTGGAATGCTTTGTTTCATTCATAATACCGTACCGTTACAACAAAAATATATCTTGAATCTAACATTAAGCAGCAACAAGAACACGATATCTCAAGTAAAGTCCAACAGACACAACTGCTCCACCCAACTAGGGATGTTTTACTTGATCTTCTTCTTTGGCCTTAGCTGAAATAAGAAGATGAAGGCATGAAGCATGAATCAAATGGTCACAAGAAAGACCAGTGTGCACTGTTTGAAGCTTAAAATAGAAAATATACAAATAATACCTGGTTGTTATGGCCACACTTTTTCTTTCTACAGTTAACAGCACTAGGCTGCAAGTGGGCATAGCCTCTAGAAGAAAAGGAAATAGTTTTTTCCTTTATACGAGACGAGTGCTTTTGAATAGTT